CAACTCCATCCTTATTCTTCAAACATTGGTCATTCATGCCTAGTTTATTGTTTAGCAAGTCTTTAAATTAAAATAAAGTATACTAACCCCATAAGAGAAGAACAAAATGTATTGAGATAAAAACCACCTTTTACAGATGGATTGTATTCCCACATCTTCAGGCATAAGAATATAATAGACAATGACAATGCATCTGCTGCAAATTGCAATTAATTTGCGATAAAAACAATACAAGTTGTAGGCATCTAAATGATAGGATGCATGGCTAAACAAAAACGTGCCCCATTTTTGGCAAACAACATAAAAAAGCACTCCTTTCTCTTTTGCTTTAACTCTAGAGTACAATTCATTCTCTATTATCTACTCTTTTGGAGGACAAGCCTTGAAAGAAAAATAACCAGTATAAGGGTCGCACGTAAAAGAAGAATTCAAATTGCGTTGCGGGCACATATCAGGCCAGTGGTCATATGGCTTCCCACAGATTCTACAATCCATGAGGATTGCACGTCCACGGGTTTGGCGGCATTTGCCACAACATGAGTCTCTAAACCTACATCCGCATACAATACACTGAACCGAACAACCCTTGCCAAGAATTGCATTCTTTGGGACAACAGACTTGTAGGGGCACAGTTGTGTAATGTGATCATCCACCTTTAAACAATACATACATTCACCTGTGTGCAATTTGTAGACCGATTGTTAAATACAACAAAAGCAATAAAAATAATTACTTAGTTTTTTAATTTTTTTGGTTAATGAAGAAGATAAATCCCAAAAATAAGTATTGTGAGCACATGACATAGAATTTCAACAAATAAATTGATATTATGTCATAAGAAGAGATGAATAAATAAATAAATAATATATATATATATGTGATGAAACATATGTAAATACAGTATGCATCTTTTTTTAATATATATAATCAAAAACATACCAATAGGATTAGGATGGAGGAGGGAGGAGGGAGGTGGGAGGGCTATCTATTTCATTTTCTTTTGGTCTCTAAAATCAATAGGCCAACAAGGTTTTGCCTAGTGAAAAAGAGCCTTAATTTGCAGACTAGTTGTCTCAAGTTCAAAGCCACATGACAACTTTGTAGTGTGTGTGAGACACCTACCTCCCCCTTGTAGTTTATACTATGGCGTGTATCATAAATAAAAATAAATAACAAACATACCAGCAGGAACAGGAGGGTTCGGTTCCTTCAAAAAGTCAACATTTGGTGCTGCTTGGCTAGCAGAATAAGCTATAAGTTCTTCAAACCTCCTTTGTTCTGCAGTCTTTGGTTGTTTATGCTTGTTATCTGTTTGCATGCAATTATATTGTTAAATACAAAAGTAAAAAGGAAAAGAATGGGTAGTAGCGTCAAAGAAGTTAGAAGGAATGACATCGATCCTATTAACAAATAACAATATTATTAAATATCGGGTAGTATTCATCGTGCACACACAAAATAACTTGACTGGAAAAGATGAAACTGTTTCAAAAATTTGGGATAATATATACATCCTCAATTACATCAACAAAAGTAAAACGAAAACAACAGCTTCTATTTTCCAAAACCACACAAAGCCCAATAGTAAAAGAGACAAAAAATTTGTTGAGAAATACACTCAATTAACCAAATGGAGCAACGATCTTCCTCTAAAAGTATTTTCAAATCAAATAGAATTAGGATATTGTACGAAACGAAATTCTACCACATAAACCAAACAAACATACATACCCATTGACTTCAAAATTGAATTCCAAAGTGACTTATCGGTGGAATAGCCGATCCTCTCTTGCGGGGAAAGGTCCTTTCCCCCGCCGCCGTCCTTATCCAGGACCACCGATTGGCCAGCCACATTTGGCGAGCAAAGGAGAAGGTCCTTCGCAGAGCAGTTGTTATCAAGCACCATGTGGGAAAGAGATTGGGAGGGATTTTAGGGTTAAGGGCTTGTCGTAGAGATGAGATTGTAAATACTGAGATTAAAAAGATTATATAGGCGTGGACAGGGCCTTTTTATTTATTTTCTCCCTTTAGAACCCAATGCACGCATCTGACGTCTTTAATAAGCATAATTCACGTATTAAATGTTTTTATTCTTTTATCATTATTATTTTTTCTCTAAAATTGTACACAGCAATTTAAATGTGTTTATGTTGTTTGTTTTGTTTCCTGTTTAGCCCTTGTTCTTTTTTTCCTTCCCTTTTTCTTAGTGTCGTATGGAAGACACGTCTTGGAAGGTTTTGGTACAAGATTTGATGTCAAAAGTTATCTCTGTTTTTGGTCTCCCCATCTTACTGCTTTTGTTCCTTTGGATCTTATTTTTATTTTGCATCTTTTTTCCAGCGTACTATCCCCAAAACAAAAGGGTAATATTTTTTTAATTGATTTCTTGAGGTTCAAGCATGGAAAGTCTTAGTTCATAGAGTAATATTCTTTTACTTCCTAAAACAACAATTCTCATCTATAAAAGGATGCCTACCGCTTGAACTTTTTCAAACTTACAGAACAACTTATCTTTCTTTCTCAACAGCAAATTGGAGAGCCTTGGAGAGCCGAGTTGAGTTGAACTTTTGTTTTGCATTATGGCTGAGACATATTCTACGACCAGTCAAGATTTCAAGGTTTGTGACATTGCCACTACTTATTAAAATACAATTATTATTACTTTCTGTCATACGTGTGTTAAATCTATATCTATCATACGTACTTACTAGCCTCTTGGTCTTTTTTTCTTATCTTTTAATTAGTTAATCATATAATATGCCAGCATGTACACATATATAATAGTATATACTTGGATGAGGCATATTCTCATCCTTATTTTCTCGTCTTTTCTTATCTAAATTTTTTTTCTTTTTTAATATTCAGGTAGACCGATGGGGCACAACAAACATCGGTATTATTAGTAATAGAGGCTGTGAAACAATAATTGTTGGCGTCAATACGAGGGCTACAAGTCCTAATCATAAAGGATTTATTTTGGATGAGGACGCAAAAAAAAATTTCTATATGGAGAGTTGCAATGTACTGGCAACTATGGTGGGAAATTCCATGGATTGTATGAATATATTATATAGTATGGACAACGTAATTGGACGTGCATGTGGGAACGTAGTTAATAATGGCATCCATTTTGCACCAGAAATAGCCCGTAGCTATATCGCAGAGCAGTTGTTATCAAGCACCATGTGGGAATCGAGCACCATGTGGGAAAGAGATTGGGAGGGATTTTAGGGTTAAGGAATTGGCGTAGAGATGAGATTGTAAATACTGAGATTAAGAAGATGGGTAAATCTGACGGCTTTAATAAGCAATGCACGTATTAAATGTTTTTATTCTTTTATCATTATTAATTTTTCTCTAAAATGTAATATAATGGATTTCCCATTAAAAAGGATATTAGCCTGCCCCTTCAAATTTCATGGGTCTGCCCACAAAGCTTTGTTTGGGCTGCAAAAAAAACTATTAACAAACAATATAAATATCTTATTGTGCCCACAAAGCTTTGTTTGTGTGATATTATAGATGGGTGGACAAACAATAAATCTTAAGTTCAAGTTTCTATGATAAAAGTTTGATTAATATTACACTTTCTCGTAGCTCCCACCTTTTCTGCAATCAAATATGAACCACACCAAAATATTTTTTTATTAAAAAAAATCATGAATATAACCAGAACAAAAAATAATTACAAAATAAAGGCAAACCTTCCATGAATATTTCCAGGAAAAAAAAAAGCTAAATATTTTATGTTTTCAAAATAAATATAATTGTTTTTGTAGGAGCAAATATTACAATTTTGTAGTATTATGAAGACAACAATTTGAACTTTTATCAATAATATAACATTTGTTTAAAGAAAGTATTTGTATTTTGGAGCAAGATACCTACTAAACTCTAGCCAGCATTAACTTTTGGGTTAATTTCAATTTAATATCCTAAACTCTCACCCAGATTTATTCCTATACTCGCAAGTTTAACAATCATGTACCTTACTCTCACCATGTAATGTTCCCTTCGGTTTAATAAAATACTATCTTTCCTTAAATAAATAAAAAAGTACCTTAATCTTTTTAATTTTTTGCTATATAGTTTTGGCATCACTTAACCGCCAAAATGTATGTACCTATGTGGCAGGTCTAGTTTTCAGCCATTCGCTTCTTTTGATATTAGTTGAAGGGTATTTTCGGGCAATTGTTGTCTTCTACTAGTACTTTTATTAAGAAGCTATGACACATTTTCTGTAAGTTTGGGTGAGAAGACACCAATTGCCTAAAAATAAGCTTCAATTGACATTAAAAGAAGTGAATAGAAGGAACACATGCCTGCAACGTAGGCAATTAACAGAAATTTTGAATGTGATGTTAACATCATAACCATATTGCAAAAAATTAAAAAGAGTAAAATACATAATTGTTAAAATTAAGAGTGCATAAACAAACATACTTTAAAAGTGAGAATTCATAGCACTAAATTGAAACTAACCCTTAAATTTTATTTGTTTTTGTTCAAAAGTTCAGAATCAGAGATATATTCAGTCATAAACACTGTATCAGAGAAAAATAAAGAAAATTAACTTGACGATGTAAAATAAACAATATACACAAGAATATTGAGTCGCACTAAACCCTAAAGTAAACGAGAGACAATATTTGACGAGGTTTGGCCATATCTAGCAATAGCAGTAACATCCTCTCACTCTCCCTCTTTCTTCCTTCTCTCCTTTCATTCCTCTCTGCCTGAGCTCTCATTTCTTCTCAGATGGTGTGTCCAGCAAAGGAAGGGGGAAGCCTTATTTGTAGGCAGAATTCTGTGGCTGCTTACTCATATTTCTTTCGCTTCACGTGGGTATTTGCAGACAAGCCTCACCATTATTCTCTTCTTTTCTTTATGTGGCTCCACCGCATTCTTTACAACACATGAGGATTTTATATTTTTTGATTCCGTTTATACCAACTTTGTCTTCTTCTCATCATCTCCATCATTGGATGTTTCACCTGCTCCACTCTCCTGTCACAAAACACAGACCATAGTTCTGTTCTTATCGAACACTCAAAACTCAAAACTCAATCCCATCTCTCATTTCTCAGAATTCAGGCAGGCCATGTCCACCTTGTTCTTAATCTTGTTCTTCTTCTCTCACTCCCTCTGTGTTCTGCAAACCCAAGGCCTTAATTCAGCTGATGAAGTCAACGACTCTCTAACGTACCTATGGCCTCTGCCTTCCGAGTTCACCTCCGGCAACAAGACCTTTTCTGTCCACCCACAGCTCTCGCTCGTTGTGGGCGGGAACGGAGGCAACTCTAGCATTCTCAGACTTGGGTTTGATCGCTACAAAGCTATTATATTCAAGAACAGTCAAGGGGTTTCTTCCTTTGATAGAATAAGGGGGAGGAGACTGTCCTATGATGTTACTAAACTGAAAGTTGTGGTTCATTCAGATAGCGAAGATGTGAGTTGGGTTTCTTCATAAATTCAGAGTTTGTATTTGTTTTTGAGAAAATGATTGTGGTTTTGACTTTTGATAGCGAGTTTGGCTATTTTCAGCTTCAACTTGGTGTGGATGAGAGCTATACTTTGTTTGTGCTGAAGAAGGATGGCCAATCGATTGTTGGGGAGGCCACCATTGAGGTAAATTGAGGATTGAAGATTTTGGTTTTTCAATTCTTTGGTGTATTCTGACAATTAGATGTAGAAGCAGATGATAATTTGTTGTGAATTGCACTGCCCTGTTCCCTGGATGGGTTAAGCTCTTTGAGCCAGCAATTTATATAAAGCAAAACATATATATGCTTTCCCATCCTGCATTGAATGCACTGCATGAGGTTAACAGATAACTAAAAAATGGGGATGAGAGGTTTCAAACCAAAGAACTAAGAATGTCTTGCAAGTTTGCAGTACTAAACCACTGGCTCTGACTAGTACATGATGAGTTAACATCAAAATTAATCAATATCGACTCACATTTTGGAGTAAATGAATAGCAAAATAATGGTATGGATGTGCTGATGTTCCATGGATGTTGATTTTTGTTCCCTTTCTGGTTGCAGGCAAACACTGTGTATGGTGCTCTGCGGGCGTTAGAGGTATGTATGATTGTTACTACGTTGTGTTACGAATTAGGCATGGTGATGTACAAGCCCATGTATATAAGTAGGGGGGGTTGTTTTCGTGAGTTGGACTGCAACTTGACTTCCAATAAGGCAAGTGAGGAAGAGATTGAGGTAGGTACTAGGGAGAGACAAGCTATCATTTTCTTTCCAGTTAAAGGATAATAATGGACTTTGTACAGATGACCAACAGATGGAAATCATGTTTCCTCCATCTCTTGCTCTCTCAAACTGAGGTGCATGAGTGACCGCTTACCTGAACCTCTGTTGGGTTTGCAGCTGCCAGTCAAATGTCAAATGTTACTGGGGTACTGTTGATCTAGTCCTGGGTAATGCATCACTTGTGATAAGTTGTTCCTTTTACTGGTGGCTCCTTATCAAATTACGCAATTTTGAAATTGTAGAATAACAATGTCATATGTTCCTCTGCTAGCTCTGGTGGTTGTCAAAATATCTGCTTGAAATGCTTAAGTATTTATTGCTTACTTATATAAATAATGAATGAAATGTTTCTGGATTAGTAATTGAGATCAACTGTTGGATAAGCTGCTTAATTTGTATTCATGATAGTATGCTTAACAAATCTCTCATCGTGCACAAATAAGCATGGCTATGTTTTGTTCCAGCCTCTCCCTTTCCTTATTCAGTCTTCTCTTTTGCAATGTTCTAGACATTCAGCCAATTGTGTACGTTTGATTACGGGAGTAAATCTGTACAAGTATACAGGGCACCTTGGTACATACGGGACAGTCCAAGGTTTGCATACAGAGGGCTTTTGCTTGGTAAGCTACTATTTTTCATGAAAGAAGGAATTCTCTTCTAAGTTCATTAATTAGTTTGTCCTACAATGATTCTTAATGCCTATCTTTTTCACACTTTTGCAGATACATCAAGGCACTATTTACCAGTTGACGTGATTAAACAAGTAATTGAATCGATGTCATATGCTAAACTTGTAATATATGTTACCCAGAAGGGTTTTTTCACTTGGATTCATTTAAGCACCTTCCTGATATTACACTATGTTTTGTTCCTCGAATGTTTTTTCATGTAATACTGATGTTGCGAATTACATTAAGTAGAATGTTCTTCATTGGCACGTCGTAGATAGAGAGTCATTTCCTCTAGAAATACCTTCATACCCAAAGTTGTGGAAAGGTTCATATACAAAGTGGGAGCGCTACACGGTTGAGGATGCAATTGAAATTGTGAGGTAAGATTTCTGTAGATTATTCAATCCTCATTAGCTTTTGAACTTCTTTGAAGAGCTGAAGATTACTTGTGTATTCCGTATTCATCCTAATCATTGCATTCTAGCTG